TGGTGTCATTGCCAATGAGACAACCCTCCACCATAGACCAAATGACATAAAAGTTTAAACTATAGTTCATATTTAAGAGTGGCAATTGTTGAAGTTGCACATATATCCAGGTGAGCAACACAGGCTCTTGAGAGCCCCTGGTTTAATTTCGTATCCTTTTTTGTTTCAAATACAACAAATTCGCTTACAAATCATCGAAACAAAAACTATTGTTGACGAAATGAGTGTTAATATATTTGATAATCTCAACGACCGTCTTGTAGACAATTAATACATTTGAAAGACCAGTTTTAAGGCTTACTGAAGAAAACTAGAAATCTTTAAATAATTAAGACCCTGAAATGACCAGCTGTTTTAATGTTGCTAAACTGGCATATTTCAGGAATATTTGAGATAACATCAAAAACAATTGCCCATGAATATTTGCATGAACTTAGGAAAGGTGTTGATAGATCTTGTTATCTACAGGGAAATGTTTATGATTTATTGATTGATTGTTGTTCTCTTAACGTCCAGTGGCAAATTTTTCATGCATTTCCAGGAACAAATTAACAATTCATACAAAAGGAAGGTTCTGCAAGGTTTGGGTCAACCGGGACAAGAGGCGGGAAATTTGGACTAACATTGTGTAAGGGCAGGAATTTTGCCTTTGCAGCAGACCACCTACGCAACCCTGAGAGAGTTGTTGGAAAGGTTCCTACCGGACTGTGCTGCATACATCTAATACAAATGGTTAAGCAATGATTTTACTGTAGGAACATAAGAAGTCCAGGTGGCCATATGTATATACTTGTATCCCAATCAACCGTTCGAGTCGAAAATGTTTCTGCTTAAGTCATGTTTTTTTAATCAAAGATACATTATTTTCTAAATTTGCATTAACTGTTTAATCTGTATAAGACATCTTTGTTGTTTAATAACCAAGAAAACTATACATTCTCTTTTGTAGCATGTCAAGTAAATTTAATGTGTGTAAAGAATGCGAATACCGCAACATCAACAAACCATCAGTGGTCTGGTGTTCAAAATGTGACGAATGGCTTTGTATGGAGTGTAAAAAGCACCATGCAGCTTCCAAAGTGTCAAGAAACCATAATATTGTTTCACTTTCCGAGTTCCAAAAGCTAATTTCCAGTATATTGATAAATACTAAAGTTTGTCCAAAACACAATTAAAAATACCAACGCTTTTGTAAGAAACATGATACCCCGTGCTGTAGACGATGCGTTGTTGAAGCGCATAACAACTGCAAAGAGTTGTACGCAATAGATGACGTCATTCAAAATGTTAAATCATCAAATGCATTTTTAGAGATGGATCAAATGTTAGCGGAGGTTTCAGAAAATTTGCAGAGAATTAGAAACGATCGACAAGAAAATATAAGTAGCATGGAGAGGGACAAGGCAACAATAGAAAGGGAAATTCAGCAGACACGAATATCGATCAATAGATATCTGGATAAACTACAAAACGGTCTTGTGAAAGAGTTATATACTGCAGAGGAAAAGGAAAAGAAGAATATAAATAATTTAATATCGACCATTCAAAAGAAAGAAAGTGAAATAACAGAATGCAAGAATACTTTAGATATAATTAGACACCATGTCTCTGACCCCGAGACGTTTTTGACGTTGAAACACATCCAAAGAGATGTGACGAACAACGAACAATTTCTAGAATCCTTGTTGCAAGAAGACCGAATGAACTATGTATCAATTTCTTGGAAAAGTGACAAAGCTCTTGAAACTCTTTCAACGACGATTTACAAGATTGGAAATATCATTTTGGATGCCAGGTCAAGTGATGTAACATTGGCAAACAGGAATAACAAAAAAGCACAGACAATTGTACCTATTAGAATTGAAGCCAAGTCAAGTTATGCAAACAGGAAGAAAAAACATCCACGGATAAGGATGAGGCCCATTAAGCGTAATTTCAGGTCAAGTGAACCCACATTAGCAAGCAGAAACGAACAACAAGAACAGATTATGGAGCCAATTAAACATGTTTCTACTAATGATGATGTCAGACTTATTTTAAGAGACACCGTGAAAACATTTGGAGAGGATATCGCTGGTTGCTCTCTACTATCAGATGGCAGAATGATTTTTTCCTGCTATATAAGTAACAAAATGTACGTAATCAGATCCGACGGGTTGTTAGATTTTACATTTAAGTCAGGAACGCGTACATCTCATATACATTATATCGAGGAAAGCCAAAAACTTGTCGTTACATCCGGTTTTGACTTCACTTGCATTAAGGTTATCAATATGATAAACAGAAAACCCGAGAAAGTGATTGATGTCGGATCAGAGAATTATGGAATAGTTCACAAAGATGGAAACTTATTCTATAATGGACATTATCCTGGAATAAGTTTTGTCAGTTTAGATAACGGCTCTGTAACGCGTTTGGTATGTGATACCTTGCATAGATATAGCAGCATCGCTATGTGGTCAGATTATCTTTATTTCATAAACGAAAACGATTCAGTTACATGCTGTGATATACAAGGGGCATTCAGATGGAAATCAAAACTTAATGGATTTCTTAAAGACGCACGAGGTATTACAGTGGACAATAAGGGATATGTATACGTGTCGGGCTTTTTGTCTAACAATGTCGTTCGAATTTCACCGGATGGAGCCAAACACAAACTGTTGCTCTCAGAGGAGAATGGTCTTAACCGACCACAAGCTATGTGCTACAAAAATAACATGTTATTAATTGCAAACCAAAAAAATGATGCACTTCTTTATTACGCTTCAAATTACATTTCATAAGTACGATACTACTAGAATAATATCACACACATATGGCATTTTCTGTTATAGTTATAAGTTATTGAACTTAAAAGTAGGAATCAAGTTTGATGCGTTTATTGTTTTTGTTTTTGTTTTCTCTATAATTCAAATCGAAATAACGTAATTTATATTAGAATATCTATACAAAGATTTTGAAGCATTAAACATTACAACAGGATCCTATGAGAGACAGATTTCATATATAAATTAAATTGCATATATTGGTCACAATAAGTTCAAATAAATTATGTAATGACCTAAGGTTGATAAGTAAGTATATTTTTTTAACATAAAAAAGGAAGTTATATTTCCAAACATTCACTATATTGAACTTATATTTTCTAAATCTATACCTCTATATCAATAATGTACACGTATAAAAGAGGGACGAAAGATACCAGAGGGACAGTCAAACTCATGGATCGAAAACAAACTGACAACGCCATGACCAAAAATAAAAAGACAAACAGACAAATAATAGTACAGATGACACAACATAGAAAACTAAAGACTAAGCAACACGAACCCCACCAAAAACTGGGGGTGATCTCAGGTGCTCCGGAAGGGTAAGCAGATCCTGCTCCACATGTGGCACCCGTCGTGTTGCTTGTGTTATTAAAAATCTGGTAAATAGTCTAATTCGGTAGGTCACATTCGTGAAAAGGGAAGGGTATTGTAGTTACGACATAAGGAACATATCCGATATCATCTGTGAAACGGTTATTCCATAACGGTCAACCAACTCGTGATGGCGTCCGTAAAATTTACGAAGGGATGATTTCATCTTCACCATTTGGAACTCTTGGTTTAATAGCTTCCTTGTGAGCAGCAATCCTCTATCATTGTTTTTTGAGTATTTCAATTCTTGCCTTTTTAATTTACAAAGTTATTTTTCCCTGGTGTAAAGTGTGCTACAGCGGGTGTGGTTGATGAAACGGTTTAACGCAGCCCATTTGAGCTTCACTTCATGGCCTTCAAAAATGATGGCATTCATTGCTAACATAAGGGTTAAATGTAAGGTATGGTCTACTCTCTTGAAATATCTAACAATTAAAATGCTCGGAATTTCAAGTTCAATTTTCATTCTTTTTACTACAAATATCAGACGCCTCCTGAAATGAGTTATAATTAATAAAAGGAAAAGTGATCAGTATGTAATTACTACAATAGATATTGTGAAAAAACAAGTTAAGAATAATACAAAGTGTTTTGAAATTCCAACTACCAAAACTTCACAATATTCAAACTCATTCTTCGCGAAAACAGTTATATAGTGTAACCGTGGAACCACCTTGAAGATACTGTAGAAATAACAACCAAACGGCAAAAATAACCAAATGAAGTCTAGAAGGCAAATCAGTGTCATCATCGTAAGACAGGTATCCACACCATATGACAAGCCGGAATATAGCAAGGGAATCTGTTAACTCACAAGCCGATCACAACCTGACAAGGCGGAATATAGCAAGGGAATCTCTAAACTCATAAGTCGATCACAACCTGACAAGGCGAATATAGCAAGGGAATCTCTAAACTCATAAGTCGATCACAACCTGACAAGGCGGAATATAGCAAGGGAATCTCTAAACTCATAAGTCGATCACAACCTGACAAGGCGGAATATAGCAAGGGAATCTCTAAACTCATAAGTCGATCACAACCTGACAAGGCGGAATATAGCAAGGGAATCTCTAAACTCATAAGTCGATCACAACCTGACAAGGCGGAATATAGCAAGGGAATCTCTAAACTCATAAGTCGATCACAACCTGACAAAAAAAACGACGAATAGAGAAACAACATTTCAAAAAAACAAAACATGGAAAACAAAAGGTTGAGCAACCCCAACCCCCTCTAAAATTTATCTTCGGTGCCCCCCGGAAGGGTAAGCAGATAATTAAAGATAAAAGAAGAAGATTTTAGAGAAGCAATCAAAGATATGTCATCATTATATGGAACTCATGATAGAAATGAGCAATAAATCTTGATATGGAAATCAGGATAAAAATTAGCAATAAATCTTGATAAAAATTATTATGGAAATCAGGATAAAAATTAGCAATAAACCTTGATATGGAAACAAGGATAGAAATGAGCAATAAAACTGATTTAATTATGTATTTTTAAGTGTTAATAAATCAAAGTTGTATATTTTTATAGAAGGGACATTAACATACTGAGGCAAAAATGAAATAAAATACACAGCTTTTAATACCAATTTGACTAAATATACAAAATTTCTTCCAACTTAAAAAAAAATTAAAATACACACATTTCATACACTCATACATAATATATTTCCTCTGGTCCATCAGCTGGAGGCCTGGCTTTGGGCCTTACATTTTAACTGGTCCATGAGCATGAGGCGGGAAAGTGGTTATAAGTTCATCATTTACGACTTCTCTTGGCTGTTCACATACATAAACTGTTGAAATCTAGGTATCAGTTTCTTCATATTCATAAAATCTATATTCACAACCTGCTCTTTTTGATATCTGAATTTTTCTTTTGAATTGGTGAACATTTCTGGGGAACTGTTTCAGCATTGTACGGCGTTTGCTCTAAAACCCCAAGTGCGTGATGTGCGTGCCATTAATTATGGAAGATTTGATCTTTTAAAAAGTGTTGAATGACAGCTGCTTCGAATTTCGTCGACTCCAAGATATACCAGTTGACCTAAATAACGTTTCAGTGAGTCTTGTTTCCAACCTTCCGTGAAAAATGATTTCCTGTAATCTTTATCTCCATTAAAAATGGAAAATGCGGTCTTCGAATCTGATGAATCTATGCATGTGGTTGCATCATTGACAGTTGTGATACAATATGCGATGAATAATACGGCAACTTTTAGTATCTGGAAATAATTAACAAAAACGTTTAAAGTTAAATTTACAACAATCAAATGTACGAACTATTAATTTGTAAAGACCTTTTTCAAAACTTTGGTTAAGGATGTTCGCTACTCTGTTTCAAAATAACAAGCTTTTTAAAAGACTGTTATAAATTGATAGTATATAAATAAAGAAACTAAAAAAGCAGAATAAAAATGAAGGGTCCGTGTGCTTGTTTTCGAGATATAAGCCATTAAAAATTTGGTGGGAAATAATTCTCTCTAGATTTTTCATACAATTAACATTGGCACCTTTTTTCTTTCAAAAACGATGAAAAAAAAACAAGGATTTTATAAGATTTTCAAAGATGACATTTTAAACTATATGTAATCAAATTATGGAAAGAAAAGTAGGGGTTAGTGGGGAAAATTTTTAATGGCACTACATGGATTCCGAATATCTGGCAAAAATTCAAAAACAAGAGGAGCGAACATCCTTAACATATGATAATTTGATTATAACGTTTCTGTTTCTGATCTGTGGATACCAATACTGACTTTAATACAACGATAGAGAGAGTGCCGTCGATTTATTGACAGTGCGCGAGAGCAGTTTTGAAGCTCTCAACGCTCGTGGCTAGCACTACAGTGTTCCATTCGATTACTATTTTCACGAAGAATGAGTTTGAATATTGTGGTGTTTTTGCTAGTCGGAATTTCAAAACACTTTGTGTTGTTTTAACTTGTTTTCACAATATCTATTGCAATGTAGTTATCAAATTTCTTATCTGTAATTGTTCTTTTTGACGTGCTTTTATAAATAATCGTGTGTTTCTATAGCATGAATCAGCCCCTCAGCCACTTTGTATAGAAATATTAACTTCTGGCGTGAGCGTCTTGTTTGTAGAGTTTAGAGTTCCAGTTTGGCGAGTATATCTGAGACGCAACCATCTACTGGTAGTCTGGATTTGTAGTCTCCCGTTATAAATCTCGCTGCTTGTCATTGTATCATTTCAAGCTTGTTGATATTTTGCAGGTGTGTAGAAGACCCATTATGTTGCTTCGTACTCAATTGTTGACCTAACAAGCGAAATATATGCTGTTTTCTTGCATTCTTATGGGAATATCTCAAAATTCTTCTCATGAAGTTAGTCTGTTTTTCGCTACGTTGGAAATATGGGTAGTCAAACATAAAAGTCATGGTAAAAATGATGACCAGCTAAGATTGCTTTTATGCAAGAAATAACCTCAATATTTTATCCACATAACAAAAACCTTGAAACAAGAATATTTCTGCAATACCTTTTTTTATTTTAAATACTACAGAATCAAAGTTCATATTTCTTTTAGTCTACACTATTTATCATCATTTATTTCTAGAAATTAAGAATCATAAACCAATACGTTGGATATACCATATGTTACTAAAATTATTTCATACTGGTAATTTTTTCTTTTATATAACTTCAACCTGCAGGCCATCGAAAATCTAAGAAAAAGACATGACTGTGCAAAGAAAGAATTAAAATACATGCGTAATACAGATTGTACTTTCTTGCTCATCTAGCCCCATGTGCACGCCAGGTATTATCATTATCTTTGAATGAACATTTAAACAAAAAAATTCACTTGCTTGTGATGCTGAGATTATCTATAACTAATTTACAGTTCTAAGTAAGAAATGACCGCCACAACAGACATAAATAGACCCATACGAGAAGAATATACATACAGGTTCTCATAAAAAAATCTGGCATATTAAAATCCCATAATTCAGATATTAGCTAAAATGTGTTCCTCTGCTTATTTTGTGTTTTTGCTTTTATCTAAAAGCAAAGAAATGGAACATGTTTTAACAGAATCATTTGGTAATCCAAATAACATGCACAAATAGTGTTTCCTCCATGACAATCTTAAAATGAACCAAATATTGAATAACCGACACTGCATTTTTTAGTGTTTAGTACTTGTATGATATTCAGGATGATTGTCACTGTGGAACACGGATTAACATAGAACACTATGGGAAAAAAACATAGAAATCATTTTTGTCAGAAAACACTGTCAAACATTCAAGCACACTGATCAGTGTCCACACTTGTCTCAAATATAACAATGATATAAGTAATATTGAGGAAAGAATTTTAGATACCTGTGCTTCATGTTATGAAAATTTAGCCACTCCTGTTGATAACCCTGACTTTGATAATACTTGTCAGCTTATTGTGGAACCCCACCAAACACTGTGGGTAATCTCAGGTGCTCCGGAAGGGTAAGCAGATCCTGCTCTACATGTGGCACCCGTCGTGCTGCTCGTGTCAGTACAAACCCGGTAATAAGTCTAATTTGGTAGGTCACATTCGCGAAAAGGGAACGGGATTGTAGTTTCTACATAAGGAACATATCCACTATAATCTGTGAAACGGATAGTCCATAACGGTTAACCAACTCGTGATGGCGTCCGTAAAATTTAAGAAGGGATGATTTCAACTTCACCATTTGGAACTCCTGGTTTTTATAGCTCCCTTGTGAGCAACAATTCTCTATCAAGAAAATCATGATAGGAAATACAAGCCCGGGAATATCGTATCAATTGGGAGATACATACTCCGTATGCAGGCGCTGCTGGAATGTTGCTACATATAAATGGAAAGTTCACAATTAGAAAGCTGAAATCATCTCTTTTGTCGTAAAGATTTGTTTTCAACCGATCCTTGTTGTCAATTTCTAGATGTAAGTCAAGATATGAGGCAGATACTTATGTTGACACTAGAGATACTCTGGCCCCAGTCTTAGAAAGGGAGGTTGTGCAACTTGTAGAAATAATGAAAATTACTGTTAGTTTTCTATTGTATTACATGAAATATTACCCTTGTACACATATTTATATAAATGGTTCAACGAGTGGATAGCTTTGTGCTTGCCTTGAAAGGTATACAGTGTTTTAATTGTTTCGCTATGCAGAATGAGATACATGTATATATGGTTTTCCTGTTTGAATGGTTTTACACTAGTCATTTTTGTGGCCCTTTAAAGCTTGCTGTTCGGTGTGAACCAAGGCTCCGTGTTCAAGACCGTACTTTGACCTATAATGGTTTATTTTACAAATTGTGACTTGGATGGAGAGTTGTCTCATTGGCACTCATACCACATCTTCTTATATCTGATTGATTGTTATATATTTCTATGTGATGAATTTGTGCATGAGTTTACTTGTACCCAGTATCATTTTTGAAATTGTCAGTACAGTAAATTATTAAAATAACTTGCTTTTTCTATTATCCTAATGTTTGAATTTATTTCTAATACATTGACCCCATCAAATGCATATGTTTTTTGTAAAGTTTTCATTAGCCTTACTCGATACTTACTATTCAAATGCGTTGTAACATCAAATGAATGACATAGCGAGAAATTCAAAAGAGCAAACAATATCAAACTTTCAATTTCAGTTTTCTTCTTGTGCGCTACGTCATTATAGATCTAATATTTGTTGGTATATTGATGTGCAATGGTTATATAATGTTTCCTATTTATTAGATGATATTATATATATATTTGTTTTATTGATTTCCTACCTTATCTAGTAACATGTTGACTCAATTTGGTAATATCAGATTTTGGTTGAAATATGTTAAATGGAGACTTATATACTCGCCATAGTTGTGGATTGTTTTCGGTTTTTTTTATTTTCCTCTGCTTAAGGGTGGTATTTTCCATTCAAAAAGAGGAACTTTTTTCAGTCTTAACTATTTGTGATCAATTGTGACAATTTTCCAACTGAAATAATATTTGTCTTCCGTGGAAATGCACTTTCTCAAAAACAAAAATTAATAAAAATAATAACTTTTTTTATCTAAATTGGTGTTCGTTCTTCAAATTTAAATGTACAAATACCTAATGCTGAGATATTTCCAATTACTGTTAAATAGCAATATAATGGGATATAAATGTAGAACAAATAAATAAATTTTATGCTCAGGTAAGAGTTATGCAATTTTGTTGATTGTTTCAACCAAATTTCTGATAATTGTAACTAATTAATTAGAACTTGATTATTGACTTATGTCAGATGACAATGCCACTGATTTTACACGTGAAATAAAATATTCTTGCATTTTTATACATATTTTTTTTCACTTTTTGTTTTTTCTTTGAAAAAAAACCCACATCTGATTAATCATTCAGCTAACTAGCAAAATTAACAGAATATTCTAATGTAGTGTAGATCAAAATAAATAATACCATGATTTGTTGGTTTTTCTTGTCCTATAACACACCTCGGGGTGTTTGGATTGCCCACGGTCGGTCTTTCATTTGACCAATCCTAACACCCCTCGGGGTGTTATATACTTCAAGTTCTTATAAGTGTAACCGGAGAGCATGAATTTCATTACAAAAGCTTCTCTCCACCGGGACTCGAACCCGGGACCTCTGTGTTACAAGGCAGCGCGTTAACCGACACTTGTCAGTGCCGGATCCAGAACTTTTTATAAGGGGGACCGCTGACTGATCTAAGGGGGGCCCGCTCCAGTTATGCTTCAGTGATTCCCTATATAATCTAAATCCTAATTTGAGTGTATCCCTTAATTAAAAAAATTGCATTAGTTTTTAAACTGATACAAAGTTTAAGAAGGAGTTGTGGTATGATTGCCAATAAGACTATTCACCAGAGTTCAAATGACGTGGATATAAGTAATAATAAGTCGTAGTATGGACTTTAACCAAGGATTTGTATAGTAAGTCTTACTATACAAATCCTTGCTTTAACCATGAGAAAAACCCATGCCGTAAAGTCAGCTATAACAGCATGCTAGATGACCAAAGAGGCTGAAATACCTAATTGTAGCAATCTGAGGGCTGTAATATGACCCAAAAGATTTTTCATCTAAAAGTTGATGATTTCTCACAACAAATATTCTTATTACTGATGTTTTCAGTAATAGGAATAAAACCACTAATTCATGGCCCCCATATTGCTTTTTATGTAAAATTTAATTTCCAATTTTCTACATTCTGTTTTTGCATTTAATCTATTTAATTTAATTATAAATTAAGTATATAAGATATCTTATATCATTTTTTTTATAAGATATCTTCTAAACTTTATAAGTTATCTCAAGGACGTATAACCAAGGATTTGTATAGTACAAATCCTTGGTATAACTAACATATATACGTCATTGCATTGGTAATCTTATATACTTTAGAAGATATCTTATAAACTTTATAAAGTATATAAAATATCTTATAAAGTATATAAGATATCTCATAAAGTATATAAGATATCTTATCAGTGGCGGATCCAGAAATTTTCATAAGAGGGGGCCCATTGACTGCTTAAGAGGGGGCCCTCTCCAGTCATGCTTCAGTGATTCCCTATATAATCAACCAAATTTTTCCCACAAAAGGGGGGGGCGGGCCCCCTGAAAAACCCTCTAAATCCGCCTCTGCTTATAAAGTATATCTTATTAATATAAAGTATATAAGATATCTTATAAAGTGTATACTATAATATCTATAAAAGTTATAACTTGTTAGATGTACTGTCCAAGCTCCTACTTACCATAATATTTATCCTTAATTGTAGCAGAGACATTAAATAATTTTATACATGTATGTCTCTGTACATAGTTAATTCAATTGTATTTTCAAATCATTTACTTTATACTTTTTCATTTAAGTTTGCTTTTCTAAATTATATATCTGACTTAATTCAATGTTATAAGATGTTCTACTATGTAAAATTGTACTATCGTATTGTTTTAATTTTCGATCATTGAATAAATACTGTTTAAACCATTTAAATGTTTATCTTAGACAGAGCTATATTTCCACAATGCACACGAGTTACCTCCCTTACACTCGACATCAATGGATGAAAAAGTTTACTAACAAAGAAGAAAGGTTTGTTATTTTCTTGCTTGGTAAGCTATGTGCAGCATTTCAGTCTGTCTTAAAAATCTATAAATCCAATTATATACATAATCAGTGCTGCCATGTTGTAGATTTTACTTGTAAAGCTACTGTATAAACACTGGGAAAAAGTTTGATTGACATGATCACAGAGAAACAAAGATCATATTTCACTTTCAGATCAGGGTGCTTATCTGAATCTTGTCTGGACTTTGAAACTACATATCTGATTTGTGGAAGCACTGCAAAGTGACCAAAAGAAGTAAACTATTTGCTGACAGTGTAATTTCTAAATACTGGGGCTCAAAGGGAGTTAATACAGTATAACTTGGAGTTTGACCAAATCTTTGTTTTCACACTTTTGTCATTTGATTTTTGGGGGTTTTGTGTAGAAATGTTTGGAAATTTTACAAATAAGAAAATTATATATTTTACTAGATACCATGAAACATAAACATGATAAAATCATAAAGTTGTGTATTAAATTTTTTATTTTCAAATTTCTGACAAGAATTTATTAGTCCAAATCATTATGAAGACTTGTATTATACATGTTATAAAGGCTAATTTAAAATTTTACCTGTGATCAACGAAAGGCATCACTGCAAAAATTAAAATAATCTAGCCTACAAGTCCACAAATTTTGAAGTACTTAATTTTATACATGTACCGAAACTAGCTACTATATATACAAATATATATCATGTATATAGTAAATTTAAATGTCACCAGTATTATTTCACTTCATGACTTCGTCAGATTTGAAATAACATGACAAAAATGATAAATTTATATATACTGTATATATATATATATCAATCTTTATGAGCAAAATACAATTTACTCAACACTTTTAAAAAGCAAACACTAACAGTTATTATATGATGTTCAGTTTTTTTTATCCGTTTTTATTAAAATGGAGAAGTACGGCTGGCACTCAGGGCAGCTGAGCTGCAAACTGTTTCTGTCTTTTGGGTATGTTTAAGAATCTAAAAGACTTAAATGATAAATTCATTTTACGTACTCGAAAAATAAAATCTTGTGATTAAGTCATTTGTTGTGAATATCCATCATTGTCCATTGTTGAAACATTGTTAGCTAATCAAAATATTTTTGTGTAGGCTTTTGAAAATGTCACCCAAAATGCATTAGATTTTGAAATGTCAGATAAGAACTTTATACAAGCAATCGTTTTCAAGTTATGACAGTTTTCAATATAAGAGAATTTTTTGCAAAAGTGTTAAACTTTTTAAGGTTGGATAAACTGTATCCCTGTCCATACGAAGCAGAAGGAAAGAGTATGGTGTATATATCTGACAATGACTTTGACTTCAATAAAGCATAACACATTTGTGGTTCACATGTATAAATGAGATTGCAAAAAAGGTGATCAAGTTGATGGGTCATCATTGTCTTTCCATAATGTATGAAAAGGCAAGGATGAAGTCTGTCCTACCTAGGAGTTGTTTCCCTTTTAAAAATCCATCATTGAAAAACCAAACTTTAATTTAAAAAAAATGGCTGAATGCATTGCACATACAATTTTTTTTGAAGAAAATGTACATGTATATAAATAGTTGAAAAATTGGAAAAGTAAATGGGTTAACATCATATTAACTCAATACATATACAAATGTGTCTATTTTATTGTGTTCAACATTTTAAAGAAATGAAAATTCACAAACTGAAATTTGTTTTAATCATTATCAAAGTTCAAATGTTCTGTCAATCTGTAAATAACCTAAAAAGCCTTAAATTTCAGCCAGTATTTATGTACCTGGAATTGAAAAACACATCAGAGCAAGACGAGCCAATCTTGAAAACTGAAATCATTTACACTTTATATAATAGACTCTAAAACATGTGAATAAAAGCAACCCTACAACACAATAAAACCTGGAAATACATCTGTACCTTAAGCAATGAAAAAAGTGTCTTAACAAATATGTGTGAAGCACTGAATTTCTTACATAGGTTGCAGGTCATTGCATATAGATTGTAGGGTTTCTTTGGTGTTTAGAAATTATCTATGTACAGACATATATATATATATTTATGGAAAACGTGAGAAATCCACACCTATCAAAAAAATCAATTTTGCTTAACGGAGATTTTAGATAAATTAGGTAATTAGGTATTCATTTGATCTCCCCAATCTTATTATTTATACATGTAGATAACACATAGGTTTAAGAAGGTATAATTATCTATTAGCTTGTTAGAAAAGGCCATACTAAAGCAATATTATATGTTTCACATTGAATTCCATAATCATGATAATTTTTTTTAGCATACAATGATCATGTTATTTGTGTATTCTATAATCTTTCTAAATTCTTAGATTTTTTTAGAATACTGAGTACATGTATTTTAGTCTTGATACCTGAGGAACTGATACAATTTTTTTTTAATTCCCCATTTTTTTTTTTTTGGGGTCTTACTGGTAAAGGACCTTAAACAATGCTCATACTTTAAAAATGAAAATTCGACTGGTAGTGTCAAAATATGTTATTCAAAAATAATACAAGTTGTACCTTATGGGAACTAAAGTTTTCTATGAAAGTAAATTGGGACTATTATAAGTCACCTTTAACTGTTAAAAAGTCATGGCAGTGACATATAGGTGCAGAAATATCTAATTGGTCAATATCTTATCTATTACATTGTCAGATGTTGTGTATTTATTGTATTTATGGTATTTAATAGCAAAAAAAAATTTGTTGTCTATCGAGAAGTTTGAAAGGAAATTACATAATTCTATGCAATTATGTGCAAGGTGCATTGTGGGTCAGATTAATTGGTGTTTCCATAGCAAACATTGGCTCTGCCATTGAGATAAAAAAAAATTCATACAGAATAAAATTTCGAATGGAAATGGGAATGTGTCAAAGAGACAACAAGGGTGAACACGACCAAAGAGCAGAAAATAGCGGAAGGCCACCAATGGGTCTTCAACACAGTGACAAAATCCCTCACCAGGAGGCATGCTGCATGGCCCCTAAATAAAAACGGGTACTAGTTCAGTCATAACATGGATAATGGACGTCATACTAAACTCCGAAATATATATATGAACTAAAATTAAAAAGCATACAAGACTAACAAGGCCAGAGTGAACAATTCTTGAAAAATAAGATAAAAATATGAAATTTTAATCAGTCAATTATAACTATGCCCCCCCCCCCCCCCCCCCTTTCCTCAATAATATAAGATACTTCTTGTACTTTGTCATCTTGTGTCTTGTTAGCTGATAGTTTTAAGATCTCATGTAAAATTGTGAAAGTTGCCAAGTTTTCAATTTGACCAAGTAAATAAATGTCTACCCTTTCCATTTATAAACTATTTAGTTTAGAACGTTGTTTTCAATTTAGACTTGTATATAAACATGTATATAATACAAGTTATGACAATGCAACACTATTTAAACAGAAACCTCATGGGAATTTTTGAAATTTATTATCTTAAAAAGATGTCTTTTAAAGAGGTAATTTGCTAATCCTTCATCTTCTGTTGGCTAGATAATCTAATGGTAGTATGAGGGTCTGGATGGGGTTTACAGATTAGAGAAAAGTGGACAAAAAGTTCAGAATAAAGGGTAAAAAATAAAGAATAGAGAATAATGTGGTGTGAAATCATTCAAAAATATATCAAAAAGAGAATAATGGCATGGGCAAAAATGATAAAAAATAGAGAAAAATTTTAGAATAAAGAAATGAAGGCCCCCCCCCCTTTTCCCTATTGCAGACTTGACAGTATCCTTTAAAGAATGTATTTGTGTCAACAATCTTGTACTAATCCATAAGAAAATACCTTTAGGGAAAACAATGAGATGTATAGGAAGATGGCCTTTCAGAAGGTAATTTGAATTCAAAAGTTTTCTCTTTTAAAGGCATGAAATACAATGTCATTCAAAACTGACAATATGTAAAATTTCCTTTTAATTCAGAAAATGATATTAGCTTTGCCTTTATATTGACAGGATTTTCATTGTACAAGACAGTGATATGTTTTTACACCAGATGAAAAGAATTGTGGAATATTAAAACAGACAAAGAACCTTTGTAAAGGTAAATATATTTAATGGCATGGATATACATGTAAGCAGTGATTAATATGTTACAAAAAATATCAATGTTGAGGAAAAAATCTTTGCATCATGTTGGAAATATTAATAAAAATAAGATGTTTTATGTTGAATTAAGGTAAGGTATTGTACAATGTTGTATGGGTACATGTAATATAGAGAGAATAATCTTATCTAATTGATTTAGTTTAATTGATTTTCTCTACATGTTAACCTGTGTTGAAGGCTGTACTGTGACTTTGAGATGAAGAACATCAGTTAAAGCACTATTTCTTTGCTATTTGTGATTTTTTATGCCCTGCCGTAGTGGAGGGGGCATTAAGTTTTACTTGTCCGTCTGTACGTCCGTACGTCCCAAAATTGGTTTCCATTCTCTAACTTTAGTTTGCCTCAACCAAATGTTATGAAACTTATACACAATGCTTATTACCACAATCACAGATCAAGTTCGAATTTTGGTGGCGTCATGTTTACCTTTCTAGAGTTATGCCCCTTTACAAATGGAAAAAATGCAGAATTTTTCGTTTCCGTTCTCTAACTTTAGTTTGCCTCAACCAAATGTTATGAAACTTATACACAATGCCTATTACCACAATAACAGATCAAGTTTGAATTTTGGTGGCGTCACTTTTACCGTTCTAGAGTTATGCCCCTTTACAAATGGAAAAATTGATGAATTTTTAGTTTCTGTTCTCTAACTTAAGTTTGCCTCAACTAAATGTTATGAAACATATATATATATACAATGCTTATTACCACAAAACTCAGATCAAGTACAAATTTGGGTGGCATCACTTTTACCAGTCAAGGGTGTAACTTAAATAAGTTATTAGAGAAAAATAACATACATGTGTTATTACAGATACTTTCATGAGTTGCCTGCTCTTTCTTTCTTAATCTGTAGTAACATATGTTTGTTATTAGTTAATATATCAAAAATATTTTTATTTTTAGTGGGCTCTTTGGATTTCTTGAAACTTTACTGATAGTTAAGTCCCTGCCACAGTCTCCTAGCTTTGCCACATGCCCAATTCCATTACAGGCCAATAGAATCTACAGTGTATACAATTTTTTTTATTTTAAACGTCAGGTTGGTGCATTGCGCAAAATTTATTATAATGACGACACTGCCAACTGGAAAATTTTAAATGAAATTAAAGTCTTTTGGCCATTGTTTGAAAAATATTTAATATTTAAAAAACATTGAAAAACATATATATATTGAAAAATATACAATTTGTTGAAGATTTATACAAGATATGTTCATCTAACTTTCAAGGACAATAGACTTTGTTATACTGAATGAAGAATTCATGATGCATATGGTTGGCATAAATTTATTTTTGTGCAAATCTGTTCAATCAATGTAGTCTTGCAATTGCATAGCAGCTATTGTAATTGATGATGGAAAATTGTAAACAGATAATTTGATTTTTGATACCTTTCAAAAAATCTTTCTTCTTTTTATTCCAGAAAAACAGCTGTCATGGACGTATCACTACATTTATCAGGAGTGTTTTTCCTGCTTTGTGGGATATGGTGGAGTGTCCAAATCACGAAAAAGTTTTACTATGCAAAAGATCAACGAACCGACTTTAAAAGCTCAACATCCTATGCATGTTGTTATTCATGTCGAAAATTTCCTATAGAGAGTTTTACCAAGTTTGCCTTCAGTATTAGTTACATTATTTACGAAATAGTATTAGCAACAGATTTTGGTCATGCCGAAAATTTACACTATGAGAATCTCCTACACATGACAGTTTTTGCCTTTTTCACATTCAGTTTTATCATTGAGATTATTCAACACTATAAGGTCAAGTTGGTTGTAAATGACCTTGAATATGTGACCTTGATATTTGCATTTGGTGCTCAGGCCTTACTTTATGGCTGCCATTTTACAACAGAATATTCGGTAAAATGTGTAGTGCATAATCTCATTCAGTATACAGCTGTTTTATGTTGTGTAGTCACTGCCTTAGAAATGATGTTTCGAACCAACATAATTTTCCCATTGTTTCGTGGAGTCTTTGTCATGGTGCTTGGAACATGGACTTTACACACAACCATCATTTTGGTAGACAAAGAAATGTCAACAGATACAAAAGACAATGCTTGGATGGTCACCCTTTATTTTACATGGCATTGTGCAATTAATGGAGTACTCATGTTGTGTATTTGGTTGATAACGTATAAACTGTTTACACACAATAAGTGTTGTTGTTTACCTTTAGATAACAGCACAGATGACAATGTTTGTTTACACAACAGAGTTCGCTTTGATTATCCACTATTGAACAGATTCGATTCAGATGTTGATTAATTCTTATTACAATCAGAAATTGTTCCCTACCCTTTTTAGTTTTTTTCGTCTTCATTATGGTGCTTTTTTTATAGATTTGGTGTTGCACACCAGTTCTGTACATAAAATAAAATAATTGAATTCTTAAAATAATTTGAAATTCTACTCAAATTAATGTTACATTGAACAATAACATGTTCAAATAATGAAACTTTTTGATTATTTTATATGTTAAAAATTCAATAATGTAAAGCATTAGGATCTATTTTTTATTATTTTATTTAACATAGTTAGTGTTGTTCTACCCCTATAGTAAATATTTCTCTAGACATGTAGACATATATATGTCTTTTGATCTTTATGGGTTGCTGTCTCAATGACATATACTCACATCTCTATTTATTTATAGTAAACTATGCATATTTTTTAAATTTATTTTTTATCATTGAAATAATCCTTTTTCAGATTACCTGTACTTACCTGTGTTTTAATCAAATTTAAATTGCTAAAACAACAAAAAACTTATACCAACATCTATTGTTCTTTGTTTGTAGGAATAGAAGGAATATGTATTTATAAAATATAGGAATAGCAGGAAGACACCCTTCAGACAAGAAATCAGAGAAGATTAATTTATGAGTGTTTTATTGACATCTAAAAACATATAAAAAATGTACGGAAAAGTACTAATTTTGTGCAATTTTCATTTGCATTTGGAAAACTTGGTTGATCAACAAAATTTGTTAATCAGAGATAAGTTATATCTTGATATTTTATAAGACATTTACAACTTCACCAGCATTTTTAAAATTTTTGTCATATTTTAGCCAAAGAAGGCCATTAAACATGTTAAAGTCCCAAGTTCTTTAAAGAACTTTTACAAAATGTGTTTGTGTTAAAGTCTTATGCATGTACTTCTTACCATACTGAGGTAACAGTTTTAAAAACATGATAAGCAATTCGTTTATCTTTATGTAGAAAATTCAATGTATGTTTGTTTTAAGATTTTTTAAAGATTTTTTAGGTAATTGTTTTTAACCAAATTATCTATACATTTGTATAACAACAGAGGTGGATTTATGGGGGTTGGCCCTCCTTATGGACATCTTTATAAGGTTAAAGCACCTGCTTTTAATAAATCTAATTCTTACTCCTTAGACTCCTAGCTATGCCTTGATCTAATCCTGGATCAGCATTTGCAACCTACTCAGAATTCAACATTTTTAGAGATGACTCAATTGAATTAAATCATTCAGCATTTTAAGTCCCCTACCGGCGAAGTCGAAGGGGACTTTAGGTTTGCACTCTGTCCGTCTGTCTGTCCGTCCGTCCGTCTGTCCATCAATCAGTCCGGCAAATCAGTTTTCCAGACTTTTTTTCTTCATGCTTGAAGATATTGATTTGATATTTGGTGTATTGTTTTATCATGACAAGTTACAGGTTAAGTTTGATTTTCACGATTTTAGCTTTTCTCCTTGTTTAGTTAAAGCCCTTTCCCTAGAATTAAATTTTTGATGAAATACTTATTAATTACTAGATTTCTGTTCAACGGGAAAAACTCATTTTTTTAAAGAGATTTGTAAAAGACATTGTATTAAGATAAATGGTATTTTGGATTTTTTTCCTTTTCTTTAGTAAATTATTTGAAGAATTTAGTGGTAGGTTTGCTCCATTACAATGAATTTTTAACTGGTAGGGGACTATGTATTGCCATGCAATACTCACAGAATGCTTGTTATTTTAGATATGTATTTTGATTTGTATACATAACATAGTTTTTAGGGACAGTTTCTTTTTGTTCATGTATGAATATTTGAATTCATTCACTCATTGATTTATAAGTGTTGGGTAAATAAAAGTTTGATTTTTTAAGGATGAAATTTTCACATATTCTGTGGTTTTTTTTTTTTAAACCAAACCATTTTATACATATGTGTAAGAGGATTAACATTGAGTATTAATAAAATTCATCAGTCAGTGGTTATTCTTACACAAGTCATGTTTATTTACTTGAAGATGTAAGTAATTTTTACTTGTAAGATTTTATTATTTTTTTTTAATGTTACATAATTCCCCCTTAATCTTCTCCAAAAAATTCCCTTTACAAGTAATACATTTAATACCTTTAATACTCAAGTTTTGGGAGGTCAAAGCATGCCTATTGGCTAAACAATATTTGTCTGGTTTGCCAATTGTTTTTAATTAGAGTTCAAACTTTTACCTCAAAAACTAAACATCTAAATCTACTGCACACAGATGTCAAATAACTGTGCAAGACATCAAAAATTGCTCCAGATTTTCATTGTTCATGAAATTATACTTTTATGAGTAAAGACAACTATTAATGACCGACAATTACACATTCTATTAGAGCCAGAGAAAGTCAAGAAAGAAAGAAAATAAGACTTTTTACAAATACAAGTTAAAAAAAATCTGAATGTCTATAACTCTACCTCCAAAATAAGTAACCTGTACCAGTAAATAAAAAAAAACTCTTGTATAAGTATTAACTCTGACTGTATGGATGTGTGCCTGTACCAAGTCTGTAATCTTGTCAGTGTGCCTTTTTTTGTCTGTTGAGATTTTAGTGCTGGTATTAGATTTATTTGGGAGGTAATTTTTGGTAAGTTTTGCCCACCAAATTAGTTTAAAGGGGACTATGTGGTATTAGAGCTCAGTAGATGTGGAGTTTTGTTAACCTTGTATTGTTTAGTTGCTGTCTTATTGACATTTACTTTACGTCTTGTTTTATTCATATTTGGTGCTACATGTACATTGTATTATGGATGTCTCTGCAAGTACATGTATATAACATTGATTGATTTATTATTTGTTAGCCACTTTCAGCACTTTTGTGCTATTTCATGGCGGTCCGTTTGTATTCGTGGAGGAAGCTAGAATGCACGGAGATAACCAACGACCTTCAGTAGACAATATTAGTCAATTAAGATTGGAGTCGAACTCACAACCAATATTTTTGAAAATGACTGTTATTCAAAATAAATATTACAGTGTTCACCCCTTCATTTTCAAATACAATCATGTATGGGATCACGGAAATAGCACTGTTTCCTTGAAATTATAGCACTACACTGCTAATTCATTGAGAATATAATATTGCTTTTTCAATATAACACACTGTATCAACCCGAGACACCAATATAATCACAAGAGCTCTGCACTTTATTATGTACAAATCTACTATATGTTTTTAACGTGACATGACATTTTTCAGATTAGGGGGTTTGATAAATCCTTTGCAAACATCACATGAACATTACGAATATCAATGAAATAATGTTATAAATATAAGTTGTTTGATAAAGCCTTTGTAAACATATCATTACGGATGGCTGATAAAGCACGATTGCCATTGATTGTATTATTCATACAATTTACTTGTTATTTCAACTTATTATATTAGAAATTAAATTCTCTTATAAGATATTGTCAGATAGCACCATGGAACCCTGGTGCTAGAAAGCTCTAGGGAGAACACTGGATTATCCACGGAACCCTGGTGCTAGAAAGCTCTAGGGAGAACACTGGATTATCCATGCCTTAAATCATTGATTAACACACCAATTTCACTTACAAAGTATATGTACTACATTGTATGTGAGGACTAATATAACAGTCAATTGTCAATTGTTCCAATGATATTTATTTTTATTATGAGAATATCCCCTTAGAGGCCAGTATACATGTAAATGGAAATTTATTCATATTTTATTAATTTCAAAATTGATAGCAGTTCTAGACTTAAAAGGCATTGTCATTGTTTAGACATCAGACCTGCCAACCTTCACAGTTTATGGGTGATTTCCCCACTGAGACTTGAATTCTGAAATTCTTTATCATACAAACTAGACACCTCAAAATAGGCATTCAAATGAGTTCAAAGGGTATTTAAGCACATATATATCATTCAAACAATACAGTAGTAAATTAAAATACTTATGACAATATAAGAGGAGCATTAGGTCCTCGTGTGCTTAAAATCCTCCATGGAGATTTTGAAAAGTTGGCAGGTGTGAGACATTGTCATATCATTTTTTCTATCATTACATGCAGATTGTGATTTGTTGTTTAATTGTGTAACATAGTATCTGTCTCATGAAATTTACATCAATTGTGTGTTTCCCTTATTATATCAGCAAGTATTTCATTGTCTGACACGTATTTTTATAAAATGATGAGTTATCTCCCTGTAACAGTACTTTTATTTGATTCTGTCCAAGTAGTTACATGTAGTTAATGTACCTCTTTTACATGTGAGTTGTTTTCTGACAGGGTATTTTAATAAGTGTTATTTTTTAACATATTTAGCTCAGTTTAGAGATTTGACATTATTCCTGTTGCTTATCATTTACTATGTTTAAGTGTGTGTAAACATCATGAATTAAGAAGTTGATAATGAGAATTTGTTTCATTACTGTAATTAACTGAACCCTTGGACATATTATATTGTTATTATAAAAGTCCCAGCTGTAGTGAGATAATAGATTTTAAAAATGTAAGACATCATTATTTTTATTGATATTTAAGAAATGCTATAATGAAAACTCTGTTAGAAATACTCATCTAACTGCATTGTGATATACACATATACATGTAACTATGATATCTTAATTTTATTGATTATATTTTAGTACAGAAGTAATAATTATATATACTTTTGTTTTGCCCCTTGAATCTTAAAATTAAGTCTTGTAAATTTATTCAAAAAGTTCCTACATATGTTCATAAGACATGTTTAGCCTAGTTGCCACAAATTTGAATTTTGCCTTTTATATGATTAACCTGCAATTAGCCAACAATTGTTCAAATATAATTAATTTTTGCTTTATTTGTACTAGGACAAATGAAATATCATGTTGTACTGCTTCAGTTTTTAGCAAATTGTGATGTGAATATTACTTTTTGCGTAACAGTTGATTAGGTGGTCCTCTGCGTAATCCACATCCAAGTTTTGCCTTTTATAAAATACCAGAGACAGCTTTTCGGAATTAAAAACTAAGTGTTAAAGATCTTGATTAAAAATGCAGGATGAAATAATGTGTATACATTTTTGGACATATAAAATGCAGTTGTTTTTGTCCTGTTTCTAAAGCTCGTACAAATAAATTTTTATATTTTATGACAATGTACATATATTGTATATGACTGCCGTTCAGGCATTATTTTTCAGTTTTCAGAAACAGGAAATAATGTAAATAAAAAGTGGAGATAAATCAAAAATAAATAATGGAAAGAAATATGATCATATGTTTCTGGAATAATTTTCAGCTGGTAGGCCCATGAGCAGAAGTTTGGAAAGCAAAAAGTATCCAATGTTTAGTAGTATTAAAACCAAAAGGACTTAAATAAGATAGCTATAATTATCTACGGTCAACTTTGTGTTAGGGAGAAGAATTATATTACAGAATTTGTACATCATGTATAGATGCCATGCAAGCTTTTTTATTCTCTTATTCAGTGCCTTTAATCCTGTTTGTTGTGTGTCTTTATGACTGATGAGCTAGATATTTTTGAAGCAGGATAATCATAGTCATTATTTTGGAGACTATTTTTATACCCTTGACGTTTATGTCATAGATCTGCATTTTACCAGCTGTATTTTTACCTTTTAAACATGTATTTTCTTAGAATAAAAGGTGCATTGAACTTTACATTTGTTATTTTCTTCTCATATTTATCACTATATGGCATTTATTTGGAACCATGTATTGAGATTATAACACAATGTTGACTGCTGTACCCCTATTTTTGACATTTTTACCTATTATGTCTGTTTGTTTTGCTCACACTTTGTTGTCAATATAATGGAATTTTATGCGACTGTCATACAAGTGAGAGGTTTATCTAGCTTTAAAACCAGGTTTAATCCACCATTTTCTACATAAGGAAATTCCTGTACCAAGTCAGGAATATGACAGTTGTTTTCCATTCGTTTGATGTGTTTGAGCTTTTGATTTTGCCAATTGTTAAGGGACTTTCCGTTTTGAATTTTCTTTGGAGTTCGGTATTTTTGTTGTTTTACTTTTGAAAATGTACCTTGGGTTGCCACTTTCCACACTTATTTGACACCATTTGTTTTGCTTTTCCTCATACCAGTATATTCTTTGGTAATAAATAAGCTGTGAAGTTCCCTATAGCCTAACACAGACTTTTAAATTTTTATCACTCTTGTCCAATGTGGCTAGTGTGACTTATCTCTTGGACCATCTCGAGACCAATGCATGTTAGTGTGCTAGCCTCGAGTGTTAGATGTTGCAAGTTTGATACCCTACATGTACCTGGTCAAACCATTCACTAAAAATGGTATTTGCTCCTCAGCTGAGCAGGCGACATTTAGGAGTAAGATCAAAGACTGGTCAGCTCTTAGAATAATGTTTCCAGGTAGGATGACCTGTCTTCTTGCAGTTTGTTACCGTATGAAATAGCACATTCAAAATCTGTTTTAACATGTGGGTCCTCTACAAATCATTGACATTTTCTCGTCCTGATAGGCTTTTAATATTTGCCACTTGACGTTCAACATCAATCCATCATCATCATTCCATCTCTTAACGTCTGTCATTGATAATACAATACAAAAGACAGTTTATTAGACTAATTGATTGGCATTTTACTTTCTCCGTTTCGTGTCAATTGTCTACAGTTTTGAAGACTATAACCAGAGACAAAATATACACATGTGTATATATATCTCTGCTATAACACTGTAAACATTTGCAAAAACTTGAATTAAAGATAAAGTTTTTAAGTAAAAGGGCTAGTGTGAGCTTTTCCATTCACTTGTCGTCCGTCGTTTGTCGTCTTCCGACATCGTTGTCCGTGGTTCGTTCAGTTTTACAAAAATCTCATCTGAAACTACTGGACCAATTGGAACAAAACTATCATCATTTGGGTATCTAGTTTAAGAAATGTGTCCGATGATCGCGCCTGTCACCAAGCACGGTCAAAATGGCTAAAAATGGAACATATGGATAAAATACAATTTTGTCTTTTATCTTAAAAACGCTGAGTTATCATAGATAAAGAAAATCTGACGGGGGCAAAAATGTTGAGATCTATTGACTACCCATTAACATCAAAACTGTCAGACGACTATTTATAGAAGTTATGACCTTAAGTGACGATTTATTTTTTTACATTTCATTGGACGGCCTATATTTGCGCGAATTTGGATTTGACAAGTATTACGTTTGTGGGAACAACTGGTATTAGGTTTGCGCTAGGATAATTGGATCTAGAATGGGCAAATATATTTCTAGTCTCAGATCTAGATAGCGAAAAATCAGTATATCAATTTTATCCGGCACTTAAGGGAAAAATTAGGAAATACAATTGTGTTAACTTCCTCACACAATACACATTAAAATACGTTTCGAAGTATTTGTAATAAAACATTGAATTGAACAAAGAGTATGCCTTAAATTTTTGGAATGAAACTACACTAAACAGATGAAAGATATAGGATTTTGGGGTCACTTCTACTAAAAATAGAAAAAATTGTGGGGCGGGGGGGAGGACTTGAGTTTTCCTTGCTTAATTGAAATGAAACTTGCTATGATTACTGAAAAATAAATTTGGTTTTCGGGAAGATATCCCAATTAATTGTAAGGTATTATACAGGTGAAAAATTAGCAATAATAGTACATGTTTAAGGTAGCACAATACAAAAACAAAAATGCTTTATCAAAATTTAATTTTCAGCTGTTTTGTTACTTCGTGATATTCCAAAACCACAGAAGACAATTATTTTTCCATATCATGCACTGTTAATGAGTTTTGATGATAACTAGTTGAGTAAACATATGCAAGTATCTGACTCTTATAAGATAAGAACATGTGGACAGTGCTTTGTGGTTAATCAATAGAAGTATTTGATAGCTTTATGACCACTGACAAGCTAAAAAAAATAAGAGAAAAAAAGAGATAACTCGATTAATTCAGCGCACTCTATCCACTACCGTTAATGTAGTGATCGCAGTGACCAGAATACAACGACTGGATAATTTGGATTAAAAAAAGAGGTGGATAAGGTATAGAAAAAAAGATAATGAATTCCAAATAAAAATACATTTATATATTAGATCTGCCAGGGGAAAACAAGAAATCTATTTTGAGCTATCGAGGGAAATAAAATATTAATTTACAAATAATAAACAAACATCCTTGTACAACAGTTAATGTTGCTGATGTTAATGATTATTAATTACAGATGGTGGTATTCTGCTTTTCTGCTGTCATATTCATTTGACTGCTCATCTCCCCTCATCTCTGAATCTCTGTCGCTCTCTGCCGGTGCTTTGATGTCTTCAGATGGTTCCAACCTTCACCAGATGTTTCGACCCTGTACCATTACATCCTCCGGTTGGTGGGTCAGTAGAGGTGGCCAAACCTCTACTCATCAGCACTCGGCTTCCAGCTCAGATCATCTTGGCAATGCCATAACCAGCAAGATGAACGTTCTGCTGCTTCCCCTACTTGTTTTACTGCTGTCTTCCGTGCCTTTCCAACTATTCCCATTGCATGTAGCATCCTCCGTACTGACTGTTCAGGAAATTATCTCAGTGCGTCTACTTCTACTGGGGAGAACCCCTCTCTCTACATGTTGTCATCAGCTCTGTATACTTCTCCTTCTTCCGCTGGTATGCCTCTTCACATCTGTATTCCCAAGGAACTGTTAGTTCCACTGCTACTGTCATCTTTGACTTCTGTGACCAAACTACAATGTCGGCGTAGGGTTGTCTGTACACATTCAGGAAACACAAGCTTCTTGCCAATGTCAGCCCTCATGTTCCATTCACTGCCCTTGTCCAAGATGCAGTGCTGTTGTGACTTTGTTGCATAGCCAGTATCTCCCTCTCTAACGAATCTGATCTGCTTTGCCTCTGTTGTTGTTGGTCTCTTCTTCTTTCTCTCCACATCAAGGATCTCTGCCAGATGTTTTAGGACCTTGTCGTACCGACATCGATATCTTCCCTGTGTCAGCGCAACCTTAAAGCCTGAAAGTATGTGTGTCATCGTAACTCTTTCTCCACATATCTTGCAGCCTGTTTCTTCTATCAGTCCCCACTGATGTAAGTTTAAAGTGGAAGGAAGTGTATCATAGATTGACCTAAGAATGAATACAATTCTGATTGTTTCCATCCTCCATTACTCTGCCCTTGTGATCTTTATTTCTGATTCTAATATCAGATTTTCTTGAGGATAATGTTTTAATTTAAATTCAGTTTAAACAAAACTCAAATTTTTTTTTTTTCAACTACAAAAATAAATAAAATCCAGTTTGTGTAAACACCATATTTTCATTGTATACAATCATAATTCTTTAAATTACTCATATGAATCATCTATACTGACCATTGATCATTTTATGTATACGTGCGTAACTTTACTCTTTGTTAAAACAAAACTCACTGTTTAAAGTACTGATTGAATAAGATCCAAATCAAAAAAGCAAATGCTATGTGTGATTAAACTTCTGAGATCATTATTAATTGATGTTTATCCAGGAAGGCCCTGTGTGCCTCCGGGCATAACAAGGACTAGGTAGGTAGGTAGGTAGGTATCCAGGAGGTCGGAGTTTTGCTGTAGCAACTGACGTACAGCAAGGTCAATGTTGATATAACTTCTCCCGCCAGATCTGATTTTTCATGAGTAGGGTGTGCAATTTCTTTATTTATTTAGAATTGCTAAGATGGAATGCTTTCTTACTGGTCAGAACCTTATGGTTTTACGATTAAAGACAAATTCTGTAGTATACCCATGGTACATGTGCGAATTATATTGAAGTTTATGAGGTTCAAGTACGAACATTCTTTAATATCTATTCAATTGTAAAGAAAGGAAACAGTAGTATACCGCTGTTCAATAGTCATAAATCGATTAAGCGAAAACAAATCCGGGTTACAAACTAAAACCGAGGAAAACACATCAACTATAAGAGGAAAACAAAGGAACAACAGAAACACTGAACTGCAACAAAAACAAACGCCACATAGAAACGGACTATTTGATAACAACTGCCATATTCCTGACTTGGTACAGGACATTTTAAGAAAAAATGGTGGGTTGAACCTGGTTTTATGGCTAGACAAACCTCCCGCAAATATGGCAATGTTAAAAACACCGCTAAAATGACAACATTACGTGACAGGAATACAGTACAAATAAACGCAATAACACTCAGGACAGAGAAATACATAACTAAATAATATAATAGTACATTACAACATGTACACCACAGAATAACAACGGACACCTTCTATAACATACACATACATTTTCATTACGAGAAATGTAGTTTTAAATAAAATTAGCTCCTCGATATGTACCCCTATATGTCTGATTTTAGAACATGTATGCTGTTCTTTTAAGTGATTTCTAATGAATTAAGGATGCAAACTTTATTGAAGGTTAATGAAAGAAATACAATAAGAAAAATCCGAGATTATGTAATAATGAAATTATAATCATTTGAAAGATTTTTATGAATTTTAAATCTGTATGAAAGTATATGAAAGTAATTACACCAGTTTAAAGTTGTCTGATTTAGGAAAGGGGGGATCAATGCATTGTGCAACCTTAATAGTCCATCCAAGCATATTAGTATTTTGAACAATTAAAATTAAAAAAAATTGCACTTTCGGGAGCATCA